GCCGCCATTGCGGGGTGATGGTGGGCCGGATGTGGCACGCTACCACCCCCGCCACCTAGGTTACCGTGGTGATGATGATGACCCATCATTCCGTTCATACCTCCGTAAACTGAAGGACCATGGATACCGGCGTGATGACCAGGACCACCGCCCGTGTTCTCCGACATTGGCGTTAATGTAGTCATCGAGTTCGCTGGGTCCAGCATGTCTAGACTCTCCATGCCCGGGTGGCTCATCTGCAACAGACAGATCGAGGGGTCGTGTTATAAATTGTGAAGAGTTGTGGAGCAATTTACTACATCACATAACTGCAAATTGTTAATGCATCTCGGACATATCTGATCTTTATGGCATAAGGTTCCAGCATTTTATAGATATTCTCGACTATTAAATGATAGTATTTTATTGCTATTGTATTTCGTTTGTGAAACATTGTTGCGTATCAGTTCGCAGCAAACGGTTTCGGTCACGTAAGTCGTGAAAAATAGATTTTAATCCTTTCAGTCATGACGTCCTTATGTGACATTCTAAATAAATACTTGATGTATTCGGAAAATTTGATTGCATGTAAATGTTGTCATATTACTACAACCATAGATTCTATCTGTATCTTGGATTATTTTATACAACTAAAAAATCATAATTTAATTCGAAGAATTTAGCAGAGCTATGATATTTCTTTTCTAGTATTTTATTTTGTACATCTTATAATAATAATCTTATAATAGATACAAGTACTCGATTGGCTAGATTAGGTTAGGTGTGAAGTTCAAAAAATAATAAATATAATCTTTTACTTTTGGGTAATGTTACTCATCTGCCATAATAGTATTGTTAACTATCAAGTTATCAGTCTGCATTTAAATATTAAATATTAATTAAATATAAGTATTTATTCAACACATGATTTCGCAGTACCTACTTTCATGTTATTAAATCATGACAGACTCAGTATGTAAACTAATAAACACTAATTTTAAGTCTAATATGTTGACGTTGTATATGTTTTTTCATAATGAAATAAATACATGAAATTATGAAACGTTTCCAGTCGTGTAGCCCTTAATAATTGATCGAATCAATCGAGGGGCGATTATGTCATAACCAGATTATATAATTGCACTTGTTACCGCTATTAAAAGAAAGACACGAGTGAAACGAGCAGTGTACACAAAAAGGTTAGACAAGGATGCAAGGGCGAAGAAGAAACGTGTACAAACTAGCACGCACAATTATGCAGCACGTGCCGTGGTCGTCGTCGCCGGCACGGTGTGCACGACCCCTTACAAATTATTTATGATCTCTCTTCGTATTTTTCCTCGTAGAAACCGACGCGACGTCAGCCCTTACTCGTGCAACCTCCTCTCCCCTAACCTAACAGATATTCCAGCGATTATGTTACAGTCTTTGCTGCTTGTTGAATAAACAAATACACACGGTGATCTAATCAAATTTACCACTTTATCCCCATTATTTCAAGGGATACATGAAAATGTTGTTAACTAAAGTTGTTCGATATAAAAGGAAGATCTTTTAGGGGTTTTGGAAATTTCAATGTCACATTCACTTTTTTGGAATCGTATATTTCTTTATTAGATACAACTTTTTTATATAAAGGTATTACCAATATCCTTGTGATAGTTAATTTATGTATCTTGTTTTATTGTATTGTTAAATTTTATTTGTGTTGTATGATGGTTGTATGGACACTTGATGTGAAACATTGTAACTATTTTATGTTAGGAAATTATTTTACAGTAAATTACTTTATAGGAGAGATAACTACTGGTAACTACTTTATACGAGATTTACAATATCTAGTACGTCTTCTGTATGACAAAGACATGTTAAGATCATACTACGCACTAATTACATAATTGTATAACAGTATACACCATTGCGTACTATTAATAAATTTGATGATCTACAAATATTATTAGCTTACAACCCACGATAAATGATTAATAAATAAAATAAGCCGTAGAGAAGTATCAACTTGCAATCGCAAAACCGCCGGTTATCCTCCGACCACGATTTCCTAACATAGTCGTAATTCCCGTCCCGCAAAGAAGGCCATAAAAAAAGGATCCAGCGTATAAATCGGCGAAATGCGGAAAATATATTCCGACTCTTGCAGGATCATGCGCCTACGGGACATTTGCGATACGGTAGGTACATAGGGCGTGACGCGTATGCGTACGAATACGTCGGTACACGCAACATTTATTCTCACGAGAATATGGAGTATAGCGAGAGCTAACTGGATGGCACGGTTTCGGTCCAGGGGTGCTCTGGAATAGCATAGTTACATCAGAAATGCAGGGGTATGGGTGGTTGGTAGGTAGCAGTAGGAAAGAGAAAGAAGGGACAGGGTTAGAGAAGGATGGTGGCAAATATAGGATGAGCGAGGGGCTAGCCCAGGGGCGTATACGGCTGGGCTCTAGAGACCCCCGCAATATTTCATCATTACGTTGACACGACGGTAGGGTTAGTCGATTCCCTTCCTCTCTCTCTTCTCTTTCTCCTCCTTTCCGTGTGTCTCTATCGCTCTCATTCGATTGCACGGCCTATCGCTCGCTCATGATTTCTCTCCTTTACTCAAATGTGCTCACCCCTCGTTTCTGTCGATGATACAAAACTCGTTACATGCGTTCGTGAACGTAATACGTTGCGCGTTAAGCAAGCCGGTAGGACACCGCTGTTATTGAATTCGTCAACCTCGCGTATAAAAACAGACTTTATGGGACACTTGCTGTTTGACCATCTGTACTAGAGAGATCAGCAGGAAAGAGCGAGAGGGAGAACTGTGAAGCAGGAGAAGGGTGCTCGTGCCACCGCACTGCGGGAAGCCAGAACCGGGATCTATACACCCACTTCATGGCCAGCGAATACACTCGCGACTAATAGCCGGCCGATTCTTGTCGAGATCGATCTACCTGCTTTTTCATTTGCTCTCTTATCGACAGGATCTTTAACCGTGTCAACGCAACGATATGGTCGTAGATACAGCTAGTAAAAAAGTGTTCGTACATTTTTTTCAAGTGACAGTGCTCGACGGAAATGATTTAGTATAACGAAGATATCCCATTTGATTTATTTGTTGATTCGCGAAGCAAATTAAAATTATTAGTATTTTTTAATCGAGATTTGAAAGGGATACACTAATTTGACTTTTGGTTAGTTGAGGTGTAAATATTAATTTTTAAAAATTTCGAATTTCTCGAATATTTGAATACTGTAATTTGAAATTGATGAGTAGTTGAATATTTAAATTTCAAATATGTGGATTTACATTTTGAATGTGGACATGTTTGGATGTTCAAGGATAAGCATCTTTAAATACTCAAATTTTGTTTTGTTGTTGTTAGGTATAATTTTTTTGGTGCACATAAAACATAATTGACAGAACAGAAATAAAATTCCACGAAAATTGATTGCGTTCCACCCCGCGTGTCGCGTTACGAATCGTCCCAGTGGCGAAATAATATACGAGAATCCACCCCTACGTTCAAGAAGATCATTCGAGGTCGCTGCACATTGGTGACTTCACCCTACTGTTATCCTATCATCTACTCATCCGCCTCAGATTGTTTGAATTACCATAAAGAAGACCGAAATGACACGAAGCAAATTGAGGCTGAATTTGCTTGCAATTAAACATATTCTTATTTGAGCCACTTTAACCCTTTATGACTTTAATGCATTATTCGAGTTAAATTATAATTATTTTAATATTATTCTCATTCCAAATATTATTCTAATATGTTTATCACCGACTATTAATTTATAACAAAAACTAATTTGCAAGTAATTCTAACGATACTATTAAAATTTGTACGCCAGATGCATTACATCGTTAGTAATATCCTAGTTCATATAAAATTAATATTTGATTTCCAAATTTGCCTTTGAATATTAAATCTAAACTAGTTTATAATTAAATGCGATTATAAGATAACAATTTGTCTACTTATAATTTATTTACGATATAAATTAAATTGTAGGGCGTTGTAGTAATAATGTTACGGTTTGTGTGCAAGTTATAATAGATTATAACTGATGTTTGAATTAGTTTATAGTTAATAAGATGTTTAAAATTTAAATTAGTTTGAAAGTAATTGAATTAACAATATTGCAATTTGTATGCAAGATAAAGTACGTCGTTAATGATTTGAAATACGTTTATTATTTGAATTGGTTTCTAAGTACTATAGTTAGAATAGTACAATTGTTTTGCAATATATACATTGTTAATGACATCCAACTTTATGTTAAAAATAAATGATTTAATAATATATTAATTTTTAAAAGAAACTAGTATATTAACTTTCAATGTGTGTGTTCCGAGTTGCTCGGAATATTATTAACGTAATATTTATGGGTATTTTGTCAAGCCCAAAAACGTTTCACCTTTGCAATTTTAAACTGATATTTAAGACCATATGGACGTCTCCACAACTTGACGTTCTTAACAATTGACAATAACCTTCTAATAGGCCAGAAAAGCACGCTTTCTTAACACCAATATACCTTTTCTTAAAGAAGTTTATTCCATGGTCCTAAACTGTGCACCCCAATAAAGTGGGCCTACGCGCTCGAACTCCGATGACAAACACATGGTGCCCATTTATTACTTCCTTTGAAGGACCCAAATCACTCAATTGCTTTGGGTTACTTTGTTAACAAAATGTAATTTACAACCCTGGAATAAAGGCTAAAAATCTTACAATCCCATTCGCTAAACCATCTCACCAATCAGTATTTTTCACAAATAACAATCTGTCCTGATTGGCCTTTTTTGGTAACGCCTTCACGTCCTGAACTTCCTGCATTGCTTTCTTTTCTGGCTGTTTAGAGGCGACGAGTCAGTCTTAGATTAACTTCCTTAGAATATACTTACTTCAGTCAGTCTTACATTAACTTTGTCACTATCAACGACTTTAACACACAACAATCATTACAACTAGTGGGATGATGATCAACATCCTTCAATGACCTGGGCACACCAGTGTGGAGGACTCTGAGCCACTCTATCAATTCTACTCTATAATACTAACTCTACATATAATTCCACTACCGTAACAAGTTGTGGAAACGCCATGGGTCGACGAAGATTTACAACCTTCGTAAATAACTATAAATAATTAATATTTTACCCATCGCGTGAACAGTGTGTTTCAAAATACTATTTTGCTTTTATCAACAAAATAAATGAAGAGGTTAAATGTCAGATATA